CTGCCCAACACAATATTATTTTCCTTTTTAGTTTTTGCCAATCTGACATAGATTGAGTTTATTTTAGGAAGAGAATCCTGGTAGTAATATAGAATAAGAATAGGTGAAGGAGAGATTAGTGTCAGAGAATAGTTGAAATGGTTCACGTATAAGATAAAGAAGATCCTACAAAGCTTCATAGTAATGAAGGTAGAGAAAGGGAGCTGGATTCAAGAGAGGAAGTAAAATGGATGAAATTTGGTGATAAAATAGGGGTGGGAATTTGAGGGAGAAAGAAAATTCAAGGAGAACCCTAAGGTTTCTACCTTGGGAGATGGAGTGGCTAGTCATGCCATTAGCTGAGAGGAGGAAATTGGAGAGCCAGGGACATAAAATAAAAAAGAGTGTTTGAATGTTGGGAGCTACTCGCTCTGTGCAGCAAATTTATCTGCTAATACAGAAGGACCTGCAAAGGTTGGGTACAAAGCTGGAGGATAGTGGCAAAAGGTTGAAAAGCCTTTGTCTTATGGGGTAGGCCAGGACAGGAAGCTAAGAACTTATAAGATAGGTTGCTGAATTACATTAAGGGGCCAACTGAGATGGAAGTCTTTTAAGTTTGTCCGTAGGATGCACTATTTACTATGTAAATGCTGTTTTTAAATACCACTGCCAGATTCTCTACTGCAAGACCAGGCAACCCAGGGGCAAGGCTGGAGAAAGTAGGGAATTGGATTCATGTGCTTTATGAAAGGAAGAGGATCTGGTGAAGTACTTAAGAGAAAGCACTCTTAAGTTCTCCGTGGCATCTCTTTCCATTTTCTGCCCTGTCTTCTTAAACTTGGTTGCTAAGGAGTAACATGCATGGCTTTGGTTTGACCTTTAGCTGCACACTATCTCTTGCCTTTAATACTCTTTCAGGAAGTTCAGCCCTCCAAGAAAGTCATCAAAAAAATCAGAGTTGCTTTAGTAATAGTTGACATAGTGTACTAGATTCTTGTATTATAGAGTCCACACTTGTGAAATTTTCATTAAAAAATTTATTTATAGTCACCGTTCTTTAAGGCCCTGGTTTCTGCTAATTTGTATAGATTTTAATGTTCTTGAAAAAATAAATATGGGTGGACACAAAACTGCTATTGTAGTGTATTTTGGTACATTTTGTATATATATAAAAAATATACTTTAATAATACAGTGATGACTTATTCCTTTTAAAGTAAACAATCACATCTGAGCCCAAAGAAGACAAAGAAAATACAAGTTACATTATTTCCCTACTTTACTGTAATGAAGTGGTTGGATTGGTTTTAAATTTGGTTTAGGGATGGTGACTTTTGGTAGTATTTTTTGCCTTCTCTATTATACAAGTACTCCTTCACTTTTTTCTTCCCCTCCACACCATCGTCCTTTTTCCCTTCAAAGTAATGATCATGTTAAAAAAACTTAATTTACTATTGGCCTTTGAATCAAACCAATTGAATGCCTTGGGATCTTGGGATTAATAATTAGCATTTTTTTCATTTCTGCATCTTAGTAAAGATACTTCTTTTATGCTACATTTTAACCTAAAACCTATATTGATTTCAGAAGTTTAGGATTGGCAAGGGCTTTGTGGTAAGCATATAGAGGAACTAGGGCCCGATTTTATCTGTGATAGAAAGCGTTGGGATGCCATTTTAAACAGTCAACTTTAATGCTTTTCATAATACGAGAGATGGCAGTATCTCTGAATTCCTATGATATTTATCACTTCATAGGGCAAAGAACATGAGCAAATGTCCAAATACTTTTCTCTTTAAAAATATCAGTAAGTCATTGAATCTAAGAGCCTAATAAACAGCTTTCAGTAAAGTTTTTAGAGTCCATCTTGGCAGATTTCTTCCCTCATTTAAAATGATGAAGTAGCAATCATTCTTTACATGTCATAGAAGTGTATATTAACACATGCTTTTTGTCACAGTATAGCTGCCTTTGAGCTCAGGATGACCTCTTCATTTAGTCTTTTGTAGTCCAGATGTTGTGATTGCTTCTAAGTTGATTGTTTATGTCTTGAGGACAGGGGCTGTCCACTGCATTTTAGCCACTCATGTATCACATATGAGCAAACCCTATGCATATTAGGTGTGAAATATTTATTGGATAGATGAGTATATGAATTCTGTAGCTGAAAGTCTGTGGTCATCATGCCTTATCCAAAGTATTAATAGTACAGTCTTCCTTCCCAGTAGCTATTGGCTCTTATTTGGTTATGGTTGGGTTAGATATGGTAGTACCGCTTTATGGTGCTTAGGAGTTTTCTGGCTCTCTGAGAGGTGGACTGTTTGACATCTACTTGTTATTCAGTTCTCCTTTAATCTGAGACAGCTGTCAGAGAGCCCTAATTTCTTTGCAGTGGTCTTCAGCCTCTGCAAAATTCTCTTTGCAGCTGCATAGTCAAGATGCTATTTTGTGAAACATCAGTTTGTACAATAGGGAAAGTTGGAGAGGCTCAGGTGATGATTAGTCAGGCACTGCCTTACAATAGCTGCAGGAAACAACATTCTTTGAGTGCCTCTGATATTAACATGATCAATGAGATGTCACTCTAGATCTTGTTGACATATTCCATGTCTTGTAATTAGAACAGGTAGAAGATGAGCTACAGTTAGGTGTTCCTTTCTAATCCTAGATTTAATTTAAATGTTGAAATAATTTTTTTGGTAATAGCTATATACACATACCATATAATTCACCCATTTAAAATGTGTGATTCAGTGGTTTTTATATATTCACAAACTTGTACAACCATCATCACAATCAATTTTAGAAAATTTTCATTACCCCCAAGGAGAAACCCCATACCCTTTATTATTACTCTTATCAACCCTCTCCGTCCCCTACAACTCTCATCAACCCCCAGTCTACTTTCTGTCTCTATGGATTTGCCTATTCTGGACATGTCATATAAATGCAATCTGATAATATGTGGTCTTTGTGACTAGCTCCTTTCACTTAGCATAATGTTTTCAACGATCCATGTTGTAGCATGTGTCAGTGCATCATTCCTTTTTTGTCCTCTATTACGGACACTGCATTTTCTTGAAGAATCAAAGTTTTATTTGAATCTTTCCCATTTATCATTCTTCATATTCAGTCAGTAGCCATGACCTATTAGTTTCATCTTTGCAGTATTTCTTGGTTCCACATCTTTTCTTTCTTTCTTAAAAAAATTTTTTTTATTATTCATTTCTTTTTACTGAATAATCTGCTGTATGGATATATCTTTTAGTCCATTCATGAGCTGATTGACAATTGGATGGTTTCCACTTTTTGGCTGTTATGACTATGGTGTCAACATTTGTGTACAATTAATTTCTCGTGTGTGTGTGTGTGTGTGTCTGTCTGTCTGTCTGTCTGTCTCTGTCTGTCTGTATGTCTGTGTATCTTTGAGTGGAATTGCAAGGTCATATGGTAATTCTATGGTTTAACCTTTTGAGGAACTGCCTGCCAAATTTTTTTAAAGTGGCTGCCTGTTTTACATTCCTGCCAGCAGTGTACGAGGTTCCAATTTCACCACACCCTCTGCAGCACTTGTTAGTACTGTCTTTTTGTTCAGAGCCATCCAGTGGATGTGAAGTGGTATCCTGTTGTGCTTTTCATTCACATTTCCCTGAT